AAACTGGGGCCTCATATTCCCAGCAATTACATATATGTATTTACCTGGTTATGGCCGTCCAGTACAATTGAAAAAATTGATGGCCCTACCACAAGGAATATGTACTCTATCTTACCCTAACTATATGTTCAGACATACATATAAAACAGACAATTTTATATAAATATTATATTGACACCAAGAAATGAGCAATTGGGACGGCCACCTAGTGGTGGTAGAAGCAGTCATGCTGGCCCTCAAAAAGGTTGAATTTCTTCATTACTGATTTATGTACAACCTTTGAAACCTATGCCCCATTATTTAGAAAACAAATTTTGAAATAATGATTTTTTTTTAATTTTTTTTTTGGAGAATGAGTAGTTAAACGTAGGATAAAGTTTTGGATTTATATGTAAAATTATTTTATTATAAAAATGAATGATTGAAAATGAGTTTGGAGGAAAATAAGTTTTTTTGAGATAGAGCTCAAAAGCAGCCATAATATTACGAGTGATGATATTCATATTCAACGATTACAATAGTCATTCTATTTAACAGCTTGTTATTTTGAAGTATTAGCTTATTATTTGATGTAACAGAATTATAGGATATTAATTCTCAAATAACAAGCAGTCACATAAGACGACTACTGCAATCATTGATTATAAATAGTATTATTCTAATATTATAGGTGATTGTTTGACCAATTTAAACCAACAGTTCATAGGTTGCCAGGTGGGTAAACATTAACCATCTGACCTGGAGGGGAGCGGAGTCGAGCCGAGCCAAANCTAACGAGGGCATTGACCCTATAAGCTAGAGCTTAAATTCTTCTTTTTACATGATCTAAAACGGACATTTGGCCACAGTTGGCAGGACAACATGGGCAGCATGGTGACGTAGTGATGACGTCACGAAAAGGCTAATTATTTACATTCTATCTGGGCGATGGACTTGTTGCTGTCAGGAGGAGGTCCAAAAGGCAAGCCATCCCAAATCTCTACTCTATAAAAGTGAGCCCCCAATATTCTTTCCCTCAGTTTATTCATTCTTCTCTCTTTGTCTGCAAACAATTTTCTGGGGGTCACAGCAAAGATTTCAAAGCAGAAATCAACTATGAATTTCCAACACTACAAGGTATATAGCAAATTACATGGCCTTTTTTATTGTATCTGCATGTTATGATTACCTTAGTCAAAAGTTTTGGTTGTTAAAGAAGAAACGCATGTTCTTAATTTTCATAAATGGATAGTTATGCCACTTAAGTTTAAGCCATCTCGTGGCTTTGATATCATTATTTGCGTTTTTAAGTCAAACCACAATATAGGTGGATTTTTTATTGATATTGATAACTACTTTGTCTAACATGTTATATTTTCATAGTAGATATGCCTTTATTTATATTGAAAATTTTTATTACAGGCTTTGGTGAAATCGTCGACAAACACGGATGCTTCAACACTAGGGTTGTACCTTGATTGGCTTACAAAGCCAGGAATCCTTTATCAGAAAGAGGAAATCTTGGGCAATCCAATGGCTCCCATGGCTTCCAAGTTGAATAATGGTCGAATCTGATCTTAATCAGGCGCTATCCTACCTGAGCTTTTCAAGTATTCTATGTTTTTCCTTTTCTATTTTTTGACTTGTTGTCTTTTATTTTTCTTTCCCATGGTTTTTTCTTGACCTTGTAAGACCTTTCCTTGACCTTGCAAGACCACGCGCCATACCCTCTATCTTTGCTTCTTTTTCTAGACAAATCCTACAATTGCACTTTAATGACGAAGGATTTGTCCGTTGTGATCTTCGTTCCCGTCCAACTCACGTTCTCCTTCATCGTCTATCCCTCGTGAGCTATTATAATTAGATAAAAATAAATAAATAAACATCTTTGTCCAAAAATGTATTGATGCAAGATTGACAAACAAACAAGATCATAGGGTCACATTTTGATTGATCATTTCATGGTGTCAATATACTACTTCTATAAATGTTCTGTTTTATGTGTATGTCTGAACATATAGTTAGGGTAAGATAAGAGTATATATTCTTGTGGTAATGGTAAAGCCATCAATTTTTTCAATTGTACTGGACGGCCATAGCCAGATAAATACATGTGTAGTTGTTGGGAATATTAGGCCCCATTTTCATTGTTTTTATATGTTGTACTAAGAAAAGTTGTAAGCGAATAAATATCTTTGCACATACATTAAAAGTAAGTTTTCTTGTGACTGCCGTGTTCGATAACTTTTTACTTTATAATTGTTTTTGAGTATACACTTGCGTGTTTTATGCAAAGATAACTCGCAATTATTAGTTTCATCAATGATCGGAGTAATATGGTCCTAAGCAAATCCAACACCTTGAGAGAGGTGGACCATGTAACGTTGGGAAGCGCATAAAAAACGTAAAAATAGAGCAAGAGAAAGTCTCATCGAAGTTCACTATGAATCTTTATTCGCTTGTTATACAACAACCCCTTAGAGGAAGGACAAGACAAGGGAGCAACAAGTAGGAGAACATTCACGAATAGTATTCTAATATCTAGTTATTCATTCATGAATGCTGGAAAACTAAGCCACAACACTTTCTAATTCTTACGTAACACTGAGAGTCTACATGCTTAATTGAGAACATTTCAATTCTCTAAAATTTCATATTTATTTCCCAAACTCATTTTTAAGTGCACACTCTCAATAAAATAATATAGTACATAAACCCACAATTTTTCTCTAATTTTTAACCATACATTCTTTAAAAAATCACTATTACAAAACTCATTTTCTCTCAAATAATAATAATAATAATAATAATAATAATAATAATAATAATAATAATAATAATAATAATGGGGCTCAAACATAGCCTTAATTTCTCAATTCATAAATTCCCATTTTTAAACTACCAATGCAATCAAATCATATTCTATAAAGCAATTTCAAAATATCATAAATGAAAAATCTAATATAAGATAGTAATCAAAAGAGTATCATAAGCAAAACTTTAATTAAAATAAAAAATCTAAACTCATCATATGATACTAAACTCTTAAAATTGCTAAATAGTTCAAAATTTTCATATATAAGCTGCACCATACTCCCTTGTGCGAAGAAAAATTGTATTTGATGCGGATTTGAATTCCTCCAATTGTCCCCCCACAGGAGTGAACCAATTGATGTAAGAAAGAGCATATGGAAGCATTGAAACATAAATTCACAAACAATTTATAATTTTTGTTGATCCATACATTAATGTGAAAAAACTAAGCATCAAACGCTCATTGATTCATTTTAAAAATCGAAAATATGGATAAATAATCTAAATTACTTAATTTTTCATTTCATATGTCCCCATTTTCAAAATATATACTAGAGTAGAATTATTTATACACTATAATAGGATCCTATTCTATAAGTAAATTTGAAATTCATCACAAGATCCTAATGTATGATGGTAATCGAAATACTATCATAAGCAAAATTTTAATCAAACGGGAAAAAAAAAAAATCTAAAATTCCCATTTATGCTACATTTTTCCATTTATGGGCTGCATCGTGTTGGTTGGGGATCTATCTCTTGAGATATGTGAGTTGCCAAAAACATTAAAACTACTAATAGCCAAGCACAATCTATCTCGTCAGGTTGACTAGCTCGATTCGTTTCACACCCCGTATCTTTTTGTGAATTTAATAGTTCATTTGGGATTGTTTATAAATTAATGAAATTATAAATTGACAGAAATAAGTTATGAATAAGTGGATAATAGTTATAGGTGTGTGGTTAAAATAAAACTTGACAAACTTAAAGAAATCCAAACATGCATGAAATCTCATGATTTTCCTCGGACCTAAAATTTGAGATATGTGTTTAATGTAGGATAAGAGATCGCATAAGTTGAAATTTAGAGAGAAACGCAGAGGGAAAAAAATTCCCAATTCAAACAAAAAATATAAATTCAGTGTCAACTCCAAGTCTCCAACAAATAAAATGAGTAATTACTCCCCATAAATTAGCAGAAATTGCATTCATTATGAGGCTCTTCTTGTAATATTGATTTTACTTTTTACTAATTCATGGTGTCGGCTAGAGGCAATGGGTGATTAGCTTTCACTAGACATTAATGGGTTTTAGACACAAGAGTCTAAGGTCCAAATTTTGATCTTGGACGATGGTCTTCATTTTCAAGAAAGTTGTTCAACTAGGATGACATGAAGAGAGTATTAGTAATTCATCGCCCCCCGGGGCATAATCTAGTAGTGCAAAGAACAGGAGTAAAATTATCTCACGCCTTGCTGGCAGCCGCATTGTGGGGGTTCTATTCTTGAGACATGGAATTAGACTCCTTGTAGGCACAGTGTACATGCAGCTCTTGTTTCTTGACCTGATGGAGCACATCTTGCGATTTACCTCTCTCACAAAGTTCTAGGGACGGGGTTGTGAGGATCCTTAATGTTGGGGTTCAACCTTTTTTTTTAGTAATTCATCACTAAGAAAGATGATATGACAGTGGAGTCATTGTCACATTGTTCAATGAATATAAATTAATGTATCATAATTGCCTTGGATAATGCGGTAGTGTTATGCAGGTGAAAATTTAAGCGTTCTTTCGTACAAAGGAGAAGATATGGAAAATAATGGGACAGAATTATATCTTGAACTATGTCATGATATGAAAGTTTAAATGATATAAAGTTTGGTTGAACAAAAGAACAAATGATGGCTAGATGAGAAAAACTTCACTAATGGTACCCATGAGAAATTAAAACCATAGATTAGAAAATATAATGAGGTGACCCCATTCTATAGCATGAAATATGCGCAACAAAAAAATATATATATAAATGCGCAACAAATGTTAGATCCTTAGGCAATTTACTTGAGGACCACCCCTCCACTTCCTGATAAGCTCTTATTTTGTTGATGAAATTCTCTTATGGTAAAATCTCATCAAGGGTATGTCCCCTTCACCTCTAACATCTGTATAAATGACAGAACTACCGTAAATACCCCCTTTAACACTAAAAATAGGAACTAATAAAGAGACCCGCGGTCCCATCCCATAGAAGGGCTATATATATTAGTTTCTCTTCAAAGTTCAAACTCGTGCTATCTTTTCTTAATTTCTTGTTCTACTTGTTTTATTTCTTTCACCAAAAGAAGACATGGTGGTGGCCTCGCCAACCCCAATTCGAATCGAAAAAATACGGGACATTGGACTTCCAATCATAGACCTTTTGGCCGAGAGGTCACAGGTTTCAAAACTCCTAGTGAAAGCATGTGAAGAATTTGGTTTTTTCAAGGTGATCAACCATGGAATCTCAGATGACACTATTAAGAAAATGGAAGAAGAAAGCTTCCAGTTTTTCACAAAACCGGCTTTGGAGAAACAGCAAGCAGGGCCTGCTGATCCATATGGTTATGGCAGCAAGAACATAGGATTTAATGGAGATATAGGAGAAGTTGAATATCTGCTTCTTCGTACTGATTCTCTCTCCATCTCTCACAAGTCAAAAACTATATCCAGTGACCCTAACAAGTTCAGGTATTGCACTTCTATGTTCTTTACATAATACTAGATGAGAACAGTATAGAAAACAAGATTTTGGTTTCTCTTTCGTCAAGTAGTATACGTAATATTAGGTTATGTTTTCTTAATAAAACTTTTATCCCACCTAACTTGCTAAGGCAGTTTTCTATCTCATTCGACATTTTTGCACGTCCAAAAACCTCCAAACCGCATGCGTATGATGTCTGTATGAATTTTAGTGAGCAATTAAACAAATGATAAAAAGTAAATCACATGAATTTAAAATGGTTTACCCTCAACGTGAAAGTTGCATCCACTGGCTGTTGTAAGTTTTAAATTTAAGGAAGAAGATTACGACACTGTTGTTAAGCCTCTTACTCTATGTTTCAGAAATTCGTCTAAAATCCTTTGAAAATCGTAGAAATATTATATCAATTTGCAAATGTTAAGACTCAATATCGATCACAACCCATGGGTGGCCTGATTTATTGCAAGTCGAAATTTGACATGAGTACTATATAGCAATGTCTTGGAAAGAATAACATAATTGTCAATTTCGTATAAAACCATGTTTTAGAATCAAAATGTGACGATAGTCGATGATGAATGGTAGATCCACCGTAAAAGCTGACAATGATTTACAACTATTTACATGTAGACAAACGAAAGTGTGTATAAAATAATGTTTCATGTACAATTAAAATGAAATATACAAACAAAGCCATGTTCGCATTTCTTTAAAACAAAACTCTTCAATTCTCATAATCATTTTTTATCACATATATACATAATAAAATGTTTTGTATGTAAACCCAAAATTTTTTTCTACTTTTTAGCTACATATTCTTTAGAAAAAAACTATTCAAAACATCATTTTTTTCCCTCAATAATGACCATCAGATAGGGCCGAAATATCGAACTTTTGATTCTTACCTCAAAAATAGAATAGTGTTTTTGGTTTCGGGAGTGGCTCATTGTTGTGCATTGTGACAGTTTTGCAGTGAAAGGTTATCTAGAATCAATTAAGAACTTGGCATGTGAAATCTTGGATCTGATGGCTGAGAGTTTGCTGATCCCGGAAACCTCAGTATTCAGCAGGCTAATCAGGGACGTTGATAGTGACTCGCTTCTCAGGCTTAATCACTATCCACCATTCAATCCCAAGAATGATGGTGACACGCCAGCAACCTCTTTCCACCATCAGATTGGGTTTGGAGAGCATACTGATCCACAGATCTTGACTATCTTGAGATCCAACTGTATAGAAGGCCTTCAAATCTCATTGGAAGAAGGTGTTTGGGTCCCTGTCTCTCCTCATCCAAATACAGCCTTCTGTGTAAACGTGGGTGACTTGTTACAGGTGGGTCCCACTCCCCTCCCCGAAAAAAAATCTGAATCTATCTTTTCTTTGCGAGTCATACATAAAAATCATAACCCATGTTAAAGAAAAAGGTGAATTGATTGATTGATTGATTTATACAAGAACTGAACCTAAACTAAGATGTTATCCAGTGGTACAACCACAGACTGTGCACCCGATTTGATGTGATAAGAGTTAATCAGTCTGTGGCTTCTGATCAACTCCCCACCATAAGTATTTGACCAAATTTCTATAATATTGTTAGGTATTGTTCAATCTTTTCTACAATATAACTCTTTAGATTCTAATTAATGTTAACTATGTTGTATTGTGTTAATTATACAAGGCTATGACAAATGGAAGGTTTTTGAGCGTGAGACATAGAGCTGTAGTGAACTCATACATGTCAAGAATGTCAATAGCATACTTTGGGGCTCCATCACCACGTGCGAGGATTTCTTGTCTCCCTAACTTAGTTGCAACTCAGAAGCTTCCTCTGTATCGAAGCTTCACTTGGGCAGAATTTAAGAGGACTACATATTCTCAGCAACTCAAAGAAAGTCGTCTTGACCTTTTCAAGATGATAAATGATGATCCAAATGGAGAATGAGTCGATTGGACATGGTTTGTTTGCCTTCAATCTGTAAGGGTGATTTCGAGCAACATAATCCATGAAGTTTTTGTAAGCTCTTTACGCTCTCCACCGAGAGAGTTCATTTCTTCACTACCATGCTCCAGATTTTACTGCTTAATCTTGAACAATTGTTACTTATTGTCTTGTATAATAATTTCAGAAATCTATTCCCTGATGAGCTCCAATCATCCTGTGAATGAAGTTTGTTGTTTGCTATTGCTATAAAGAATGAGAAGCCAACATAAAAGAGGCGAAATTCCAAATTTAATAATGTAGAAGTGCGCATGGCTTCAAATAGTTGGACTGCTCCAAAATACAAAACACTAAACAAATTGTAATGTGAACATATAGAATCTTGGGTGAAACAGAAGTAGAATATTCAGAAAATTTTATTCTTTGTCATGTCCTGCATGCCTTCGTGTTTCTAAAGAACCACACGAGGCTATATGCATTTGGAAATATGTTGAATCTTAGAGAGCTGTTTGAGATCTGGCAGCAAAGCGCGAGCACTTTCTTCGCCCACTTTTGCCGAGCCCACATACACAGTTCTCGAGGAGTCCATAATCCTCATTCCAAAACAATAAGGAGGCCGAATCCGGATTTTCTAGAAGCATTTTTGAAGTTAGGTATCCAGCAATTGTCCATGTCTGATGAAGGCGAGATTGTTTTCCTATAAAACTACCGTATCTCGTGTCATAATATTCTGGCCACTGATCCACCGAAAGCCTCTTCTCAGCCAAAGCAGCCGCCTTTCTGGCTAACTCGGGCCTTCCCATCTTAATACAAGCCAAAGTGAACTGAAAATCAAACAGCAAAAACTTTGAGGTGAGAAAGAACATGCAAGTCTAGATATTACCCATCTCCACAGTTGAAGACAATTATTGAAGCTACTTCTACTTTTCGTAGAAGAGTTTCCAAAGGAAGTCATCTTGGACCACTCTTTTTAACCAAATAAAGCACTTCCAAAAAATTATCCAAACATGCCTAAAAGCAACTTTTTAATCTTAGAAGTAGCTTGTAACTTTTAAACCCTTGTCAAACGGGCCCTAATTCATTTAGTGGAATCTTCTTTTGCTCAAGATCACAGTGAAATGACAAAGTGCATCTAAGTTCTGTTTGGGGAAAAAGCTTGAAGAAACTTCATTTTAAACTTAGCCAAACATGTTCTAGAACTTAATGGTAAGCATACCTGCCAAAGTAGCATTGGCCACGAACCACCATTGTGATATGACCATGGACTGCAGGCAAACATATTGATTAAACTCTGAAAAGTGATAACTTTAATTAAGGAATATAATGTAATATTCTTACATATACAAAAGAGACGTGAATATAAAGGATAATACAAGTATCTTACGTATTCTTAGGGTCGCCACCAGTGATTATACGCCATTCATCGTTCTCCAAAGCAGGGTAACATATCTTGAGAGGCATTTGTGCCACAAGGTCACTCCATTTGTCCTCAATCAAATTTAAAATACCTTCATTCTGTTCAGTAGTGCCCAGTGATGATATGATGGACCAAAGATTACCCAGAGTGAAAAACCTAAAATCCATATGAGCAGGTTGTAAATTGCCGATGAAATATCCACCAGTCTCGGGAAACCAATCTACAAGCCAACGAGGAATTTGATCTGGATAGATATTGAACTTGTTGACAGCATCTGTGGAGTATTCCTCGGTCTTATAACGATATATCTCATTAATTTTCTTCATGTCTACCCAGTAGTACTCCCGCATATGAAATGACAATGCACTGAGTCGGTTACTGATAGCCGCAACAAGATTCTTGGTTGAATCATTAACAATAAGCATCTCACGGGCACATCGCAAAGCAGAGTAAAATAAAGCCTACAAGTCCCAAATATAAGGTTACTAAAAAAACACTGCTAAAGCAAATTTACACGTCATACAGAAATTCATATTCCAGATAATTGGCTATTGAGAACAAAGGGTGTTATTCATACAGGTCGATAGACCTTTTTTCACCTCTCTCTCCTTTTTTCCCCCCCTAAAGAATAGGTTATGCACAACAACATCACTCTTTTGTCTAGTTTCAAATCGGTTTCTCGTATTTGAGCTCTCCGTTGTTTACAGTCGTACAATTCACAAGAAAGAGATAACAATCATTTTTTAAACACTAGATTACAGTTTCAGTAGCTAAATGAGTTCTCCAGGAAAAGGGAAATATTAAATTGTTAGAACATTTCTTGTAATGCTATCAGATCCTAATTGCTCTAAAATAAAGCAACACCCTTTTAGGAGTTTTGTCCAAAATCACTTCCACATTAGCTCAAAACACACTAAAACAACAGATTCAAGTCAGTTCCTGAGAAACAGGGAAACCTTTTTTTTTCCTTAAGTCCGCAGAGCCATTACTGAAAAGATCATAAAGGTATAGGAGTAAAAACGAGACTTCCTCGTAACAAATCACATTTTAGGTCTTAAGCGCTTATAGACAACTCGAGAGAAAGAATTCATTTGATTAATGCAGAAATTTCTTAAATCAAATAGAAAATATCAATTCATCTATTTTTGTTTGTATTCAGTCCCAAACCAAAACAGAAGAATAATATTGTGTTAGGTTAATAAATAATAACTAACATAATAATTGCATACCTATGGTCAAAACATAAACTTCTTATATATGTAGAAACTGTTCTGTGAAAAACGTCTGTTATTCAAGAAAAAGCAAATGAGATATTCCATTTCTAAAAAGTTTATATAAAATCCTTGTTAATACGTAATTATGTGGTGGCACATGACAAATCGCCTATTTATTGCCTATTAACAGAAAATGCTACATCCCAAGGTTCACCAAAATACTGTACTAACTTGGATTTCAAGAGGGTGACCATGAACACCCATCCTTCTATCAATCATGCAGGAGCCATCAGTCACCAGCAGTGTGGGAAACATATCAAAACCATCGGTTAAGCACAGATTAAGTATCAATCTTATGCCTGTCTGCACATCCACTCTCTCTTGCAATGTACTGTCTCCCGTGATTTTCCCATAGGCTCTTAATAAAATAATCCACCACAACCCTAAAATTATATATACAAGCAACACATATTATTCTAAACATTCCTCTTGGGGTGCTAATAAATGAGTGTAGGATCAATGCGGAAAGGAGCCGTGTAAAATGACAAAAAAGCAAACAATTTAAAGAAATACTGTATGAGACATGTATTTAAGCAACAAGGCAAAAAGTTTTCCAACTACAGGTATACAGTTGACAATAGAAATATTTTATAGAATTCTAATAAAAGTCATACCAGAATCAACGGGTGCAACACGTCCAATAGCTGATTCACCAAAGTCTGGATCTAAAACATCCTCGAATTCTCCATCTCTTCCACTGAGAGGCACAGCTCTAACTTTAAAACTTGCTGGCATTAACCCTTTCCCAGGGCCATAGCAGTCTACAGTTTTTTCCCAGCTCTAATTTAAACATTAAAAAACTCAATTCAGATTTGCAGAAAATGATATTGTTCAAAGCTGAGATTTTTTTTGCATGCAGACGGTGATAAATAAAATCTTCAAATAGATAAAAATACAGAGGTAATAACTGTTTCGAGTAACTTATGGTAACTGAAAAAATAGGTAGTTACCTGTAGCTGCAGAGTATGGTGCAGAAAATTCTTGACAATCTCGCCTTCTCCATTAAGCAAGAATGCAAGAGCTGTCGGGACAAAATCACGTATAAAGACTTGGTCATAGTTCAGAGGCTGCTTATCAGCTGGATCATTAGCTGCAACAGTCCCCACAGGGTTTCCGCAATAATTTACAACCGCTTCCCGGAGCAATTTCCAAGCCTCTTTTTCCACCTCAGAAACCTGTCTCTCGTGGGTCGATTTTAAAATCGTAGACCCACGTAATTCCCTCTCTCTAAACTCGTCAATATTTACATTAGAAACATCATTTACATCTACCTTATTTTCCTTCTCTTTTACTAAATCTTTTGTCACTAAATCTTGTCTATTTTCAATCATATCATTCACTAAAGGATTCACATTAAAGCCCCCTTGAATGTAAATCTTCTCGAAACTCTTTTCGTTAACACGGGAATCAATAGACGTTGAATGGTTCCTAACATCCGATCCTAAGTTTGATAAAACACGGAAAAATCTATTTTTTCTATGAACCCATTTGCTCGAAGAAATCCTAGATTTCCCCCAATTCAAATCGGATCCGCAAAAAACCCTCCGATTTGAGTCAATTACATGTTTAAACCCTGAAATCCTATCACTACAACTATGAACCCTAGTTAAACCATTAAATTTTGACCGTGATCTTGAACGATCATATTTCCTAAAAGGGCATCCAAAAACTGATGAATTCCCACAGTTAATCAAGATTCTACAACAGGGTTTCACATAGAAGGGTCCAATACAGTTACTAGTAGTCATTCTCTTCAATCCTTGGAACAATTATAACCCAACGACTTAAATTTTTTTTTTTTTCTTAAAAATTGATAAAGACTAGATTATATTCCTCAAGACTCAATGTTTACAAAATACTCTTGAGCTTTAAAAATGGGATTATATTAAATTTGAATATACAGATCTGTTAATAATATGTAAATTCGAGTATAAAAGTTAAATACATAAAGCAATGAAATGGGACTTACAGTTGATTTGGGAAATTTGAAATGTGTGTCTGAAGAAAAAGCAAAGATATATTTGAAGGTGAAAACTAGTTGTTGTATGGGGATTTTATACCTGCAAAAAGAGGAAGTTTCCAAGAATTGATGGATAGAGTACAAGCAATTGAAACGTGTTGGATTGAATTACATTTTTGACCCTGCCTCGCCTTGTGATCTTTTGGTTTGACTCGGATTGAATTACAAGAAGGCCCCTTTGACTAGTAGCCCATTTTTATGCAAATAATGTCATGTAGCACACTGGTGTTAAACAAGGTCCCCGTTTAGCCCTCATTAAATTTCATTACATTACATTCAATTTTTCTCTCTCTAATTTTAATCACATAATCTTCTATAAAATAATATTACACATAAATCGAAATTTTTTTCTTTTTTTTCAATCACTCATTTTTCAAAAAAACACTATTCTACCCATTCTCATTTCTAGAAAATGGGGGCCAAACGGGGGCAAGATGTCATTATATCATAAGTCTCACTAAATCAAAGGGTAAATCACATTAATCGTTACTGAAGTTTTGAATATTTATATCAATGATTTTTGAAATTATTTTTTTACAATGATAGTTGTTCAAGTTTTTAAATGCTACATTAATGATTAATCAATCAAAAAAAGTATTAACGTTAAATCGTATTTGACATCATTAAATGTCAACGTGTCATCAAATAATGTTATTTAGGGGTTGTTTGAGTCCTATTTTTTACGTCGAAGAATATAACAAAAACTAAAGTCACGTTACAATTTCTCATGTGAACGTGCTTTATTCTCAACTCCAAACTCTCCATTTTTTGACTCATAGTAACAATAACTTTATTTAGTGAAATGTTGGTGCTTAATTGTGTTATGTAAGATTTAATTATTAAATTTTTACCAAATGACTATTAGTGTAAGAAACTCGAGTGGTTATTATTGTAAGGATATAACTTTATTAACCATTTGTGTGATAACTCAAAATTTAAATGATCGTTGATGTTATTTAATTCAAACCAACGTTTGTCATGCATTGTAATGAGAAGTAAAAACGATTAATAATTTTAGTTATAATTATAGAAGTTTGATGTCTATAACAATAAGTAGCTAAAATTAATTGTTAATTTTAATCCAACCTTTTGAACTTTTCCAAACGAGCACTAAGATCATAAATCTAGTAACTTTAATTATCAATTTATTATTATTATT